CAAGCTGATCATCGGCGCAGCTTTGTCAAAAGTGCGCTGCTTTACAAAACGTTCAAAAGCAAACGCAAGTAACTTCGTTTGCTTGGAATCCATTGCAGCCACTGAAGCCTCGTCGTCTCCTCCGGAATATTCGTCACGATGGTACCGTTTAAGATGGCGGCGAAAAGTGGTGTGTGCAATTGATGACCATCGACAAGCTGAGTCTGTAGGGCACAGCAAGCAGGTATAGGAACCTTCATCGTTCTCACGAATGAAAGACCAAATGTCGGAACGCTTGTGACTGTGAGATCGCCGATATCCACTCGATGAAGTGTTTGCGTTCGACGAAATGTTTGTGCTCGACTCGTCATGAGCGTCCATTGATTCTACTTATGTGGTATCTTGCCTACGTAGTAAAGCCAAAGTAGAGAAGTGAAATCAGCTCATTACCGTTCGGCGTGCAGCCTTAGTCTGTCCCACGGAGGTAGCTTCTCGACAGGAATTTGGTGCAGGTGCAACTACCGATCCGATCCGATCGGATCCGATCGGATCGAATCAAGCCATACAAATTCCAAGTATAAAAAATTCAATCACACACAGATCATGGCGCAAAATTCCAACCTCAACGAAGGGAAGTTCGGTCCCAGAAGTGGCGAGCCAATGCCGTGATGTGCTGGTAGACACTGCCAGGGAGAGGTATCACACTTGGACTTGAGCTTCGAGGAGCGGATAGTTCGGGCGGTGAAGTGGTAAGCGGTGGGGCGTACCACGACGGACAGCGCGGCAATGATCTTGATTCAAGTACATGTACAAGTTGCCAATCAAGACTCTTGATGAGCGACTTGTACATGTTCGGCTCGCCATGGACAGCTTCACAGCGGGACGTGGAAGTTCCCGGGCACTTCGATGAGCTGGGTGGTGCTCAACAACAAGCAGGCAGAAGTGCTGGTACGACGTGGCTACAGCGTTGCAGGCGTGTCGCCGACGCTGTTGGATATATGCTCATTAATTTTCCGCCGGAGTCTGCAGTGGGCTAGCCGCAGACGTAATCGGTGGCGTAGTTTTCGGATGTGTTCCGGGAGTCTCTATTGCTGGTATTCCGCGATAAACGAGATGCTGCACTGAATATACGGAAGGTGCGTCTGCTGACGATTTCATGACGGCGTCCCGACGGGTAGTGTAGAGCCACACACAATAAAATTCGTCACTTTCCTCTGCCTTAGGCTCCTACGAAAAACACTTCCTAGCAGAAAACTTCTTGCTAGGACTCCTGCTGCAGGAAAACTCATCCTGGAGACGAACAACACGTACGGTACGACAATATGACCTCAAATATTTAATGCAGAACGTCTTAAATCGTTTCATAGAATCGTAAAGGTTTTAAATGTCATAGGGTAGACTCTATACCTACAAGAACGTATTTCTTGTGAATCCCAGCACAAGGGACTATATCGTTTTTTGTGTTTCTCCTAGAATCTTATACATTTTTGATTGGATCCGATCGATCGATCAATCGGATTCAATCGAATAAGATCGAAACGAATTCAACCTCGATCGGATTAGTCAGACGAGACATATCGATTGATCCGATTCAATCCATTTCCCAAGCCTAGTGGCAACGCATGGACACTGGTCATCCCACACTCGTCAATTATGCTACTGAGCCAGTCAAACATACTAACAAGTCAACGCTCATCAATGCAATCATGGCGTAGCAATGAAATACAAGCTCCGAAACATTTCTAACATGGACGATGCCGGCTTATTGCTTTCCACAGTGGAGTCCACAGGGGCATTCGAGCAAAATACATGTATGCACATTATAAATCCAGATGAATGAGTCGCACGCAGATTTGTAAGTATATTCAGACTGCATGCGGTAACGTAGGCTCTATGTATTTGACCAGGTTTGCAACCTGCTTGAACCAAATGCCGTAGTAAGGTCGGTTATTCTCAGTTAGACCCAAATTTGGTCGGCTGGCCGGCAAAAAAGGCCCTACTATTGTATTTATGTCTCATGCGGGTGGATCTGACTGTTTGCCACCCACTACCGTAGAGCTCTGAGACAGATTCTCAGACTGAATATCTGCGACGCCGACGACGGCCCAGTGCCAATCACTTTAGAGTGCGCTTGGTCTTTGCAGCATCCAATCCTAAAAGGCACTCGTTATTTTGCCCGACTGAGGTAACATAGCATCGCCTTTTATACGTGTACAAATAGTATAGTACGGTTAGATTGGAGTAATGGTAGGACACTAGCGCGTTTGCACTCGTCTGCGGACTTATAGCCGCCTCTCTTCGCTTGCTGCGCTGCGCTCGGGGGGCGCCGCTGCGCGGCCTGCCCCACCCCGGCCTCTAAGTCCTCGATTCGGTAAGGCGCTGTGTCTGGGATTAGAAATTAATTCCGAGCGAGTGTTGCCAAGACTGTCGGCTAAGTCCATTTTATGCATGTTGGGGGGTATAATTGTATAGTCGGCTAGCCAGTCGGGCAAAATACTCACTTCCATTCTAAAATGATCATTACCGGCATGGTATGTATCAGATTTTGGGGATAGTCTCTCGGAGACAGTCTCCGACTCGGAGACTCGGAGCGCCCGAAACTCAAAAAGTACAGTACTGATGTGCAAGAAGTGTCACACCAGTACCGTACTTTTTAAGTTTTGCTTTTGCACTGGCGCTCCCTAGATTAATTAGGTCTCGTTAATAATACAATGTATTATACCGGTACATGCACTGTAAATCGTTTCACACACACGGACCAAATGCATGAATCGTGTTGGGATTGGATGTTGTCTCTTCGTCTTATGACTCATCAGAATAATTTTGACACTTTTTTTTACTTAATTACTAATGAATAAGAGACAATACGGTAATGTACATTGATCGTTCGACGGATAGCCCATCCGAGCTCAGTCTTCAATTCTCCCTTTACCTTCGACGTCTTCATGCGTTCGCTTCACATTTTGCTGGTGTTTACTGCCAGTCTTCTTGCCAGCCTAACAGAGTCGGCGAAAGCTGATTCTTTAGCTCGTACCGTCAGCGTTGTTGACAACGTCAAAGTAAAAAGCAGATTTCTGAGGGCTCAAACGGACGAGAAGAACGAAGAGAGAGCAACGATAACGCTTGGAGACAGGGTTGTTTCCGACAAGGCGGCGACAAAAGATCTGCTACAGCAGCTTCTTGCACTGGGCACGCCACTGGAAAAAGTCCAGAAGCAATTCCTGAACATACCGCAGATGAAAACATTTGCGGAGTTGAGCAAACACCCGAACTGGAAAGCGCTTGACAAATATGAACGGATGCAGTGGCAGAAGCTAAAGGAGGGCGAAACACTGACATTTATGCGTCTTGGCGATCGATTATACTCTAAAGAGAAAGCGCAAGAACAGCTCCTTAGGTGGGTTGCGCAGAAAAAACCTGTGGAGAGTGTATATGATGACCTACAAGTGGCAGGCTTTGCACATAATACTGTTGCTGCTCGCCAGAACTGGAGAGCATATATTATGTACGACAAGTGGTTTACGGCGGCCTCACAAATGCAGAGGAACCCGCAGCAGTATGCCAAGTTCGGCACGGGATATCATTCGGAGCAAAAGACGACGGAGTTGTTCGAGAAGTGGGCCATGGAGGGAACCCATATAAAAAGTGTCATCACGACGCTTAAACTCAACGGTAAGTCGGCGTCTGAGATGGCAAATAACGAGAATTTTCCCGCGCTCCTGAAGTATGTCAAGTTGTATCTTGATTTTAAACCAGTCAGGGACCTTAACGCAAAATCCCGTCTCCAAGCTAGACGGCCCATATCTTAGTTTCGCTGGATCGATCGGTATAAGACCGTGACGAAATGCCAAATAACCGTCATTCCGCTTTTACTGCGTCAGTTGCTGTTGTCTCTCCTCCATTCTAGGTGGTCGACTTAACATTGATTCTTCTTGGTGTGGCATAGAATCGCAATCTGAGCGAGAATCAATGGCGTGATAAGATAACACACTTCCATGTTAGCCCACTACTAATTCTACTGCAACAGGGGATGTCATGGTTAAAGGCCGCTTCATCATGAACAGATGCAGATCTCACCACATGACCAGCATCAGCTTCAGGATCTCACCAATAGTATTATCATGGCCAATCTCGACAGCTACAACACGTTTGTGTCGGGAAGGCTGAAAGTTGATATTCACCCGTGGAAGCAAATTAACGAGCGTGAGAAGCTGCTAGTGTATGCAGAGCGACCTGAATCGCTGGCACTGAGGCGTCAGGCTCTGGTCTTCCAGTGATTCTCTGCGATGGAACTATTGAGGGCAAGCTCGAAGATATCATTCACGGAGTCATCAGTGAAGGTCAAGGCTTCGTATGTAAGTATAGCAGCAGTGCTGGATCCAAATCGAACTACCGATTCTTGAAGCAGGGCCTCCGAAATTAGCATTGTCAATAGCCTAATTTCTGAAAATAACAATAAATTATTTATTGGCTCTCCCTACAGTTTACGGGTGTAAAACAGCCATTTGCTTAAAAAAATATTGCTAGGGCGAGGGTAATGCAAAAATCGGTATGGTCGGTATTTCTAAAAATGTCTAAATTTTGGCGAAACATTGTGTGTACCACATACCGTTATCGAGAGTTAACCCCTCAGTTACCGGAAGATCCGTGTTGGAACCGCCTATTTTACGTCGTAAGTTACGACTTTATTTTAGTATATTTATTTGTATGGATGTGTCTTTTCCACACTGGATTCCCGCTATAAACTGTCAGAGGATATTTTGAGCTACGTCGTATGAGTTACGACATTATGAGCACGTCGTATCACGAAAAGCCATAACTTACGACGTTCAAGTATTGTTTTTGTCGAAGCAGATGCCTATTTACACATCCGTAGAGATCCTCGTACAACAGAGAAAGAACTACATTTACATAAACTAAGTGCTGTCCAAACGCATTCAAACGATTGCCGATTGCTGAGCTGGCTGATCCTCTTCATTGTCGGCCTCGCCGTCTTGTTGACAGAGCAGCTCACGCCGAGTTGGTTTTCGAGTACCAGCCTTGGCTGATCGTTGCAAGACGACTCGCTTGCCGAGCGATGCTGGGATGGAAGCCCCACTGTCAACGTCTTCGTGCCAAATGTTTTGCGCACGCCTCCGTAGCTATGGCGCGACTTGGGGCAGAGGAAGCACTTTGCGTCTGCGTGTGAGCAATCCTCACAATAATAGGTCGTTTGAAATGATTTTTTTCGATCGCCTCGTAGAAGAGCGCATACTTTGCAAGAGCGTTGCCGGCGCTTTTGGATGCCTGAAACGGTGACCCAGTCGTCGAACTGGATGTGTTTGTGACCGTCTAGTCGGCGGCGCTTGCGAGAGCGAGCCATAGGAGAAGGTGTAGGAGCAGTAGCTTCAATGAAGTCGTCGGCTTTGAGTTGCATCAATTGCTTATGAAGTAGAAGATACCATTCTCCACGATCTTTTGGTACCAGCCTCTTGATCCGGCATGTTTCCTTGTGTGTGAGATACGCATTGACGAGTGCCATGTCCATGAAACCCATGAACAGTGACTTGTAATACTTCCTGAAACGGAAAGCCGTTTGGATTGAATAGGACTGCAGGCGAAGTTGATCATGTACATCAACTCCGCCCATCCAGCGCTGGTAATCAGTAACTAACTTTGGGCATTTGACGCAAAGACGGCCCGACCATCTTGACGTTGCGACGAATAGAGTCCTCTGCCATGACCGGACCCGTGGCCCAGGTAGTGGACCGGCTTTCGGTCCCACCAGTGGCAAGCTATCATGGTCGGTATAGCAGTGGAGCGAGAGAACGCAAAAGTACCACGCTCAATCGCTCGAGGACGTGTTTTACGCCTCTCAATAACTTGCTTGTCGAACCCCAGTCTGTTGACCATGATCGTTCCCACCACGTAGATACCCATCGATAGAAGCTGAATAGCCAGTGGGATAGACGAGTAAAATCGATCGATCACTACCAATCGAAACCCTTGTGATCGATCTCCCAGAACGGCTTTCATGTTTCGAATAACTGCAGCAGCCCCCGTCTTGTCGTCGACTGCTTGCTGATCACCATCCTCGGTCTCACGCTTTCCGACGTACACCTCGAATCTATAGTAGTAAGTTACGACGTAATAAAATATCGTATTACAATTCAAGCCGTAAGTTACGACATAATTAATAAACGGAACAAACTTACCGGTGGCAGTATGCACTCACAGAATCGCAAGCCATAAACAACTTGGTTCCGTATCGATGGGGCTTGTCGGGCATTAAACCATCCGCGTGGTGTTGCGCTTGGACGTGGCTGGTAGTAACGCCTTCGTCAAACGAGAACTTACTGCCGAGTGACCAGCCAGATCGAAACGGAGTTTGCAACGTGTCGACAACAGGCCCGTAACTTCCACAATTTGTCTCGAATTCCGTGGGGCTTCGTTGTTCACGACATGGAAGTCTCGAAGAATTGACGTGCAGCGGTTTCGAGCCATGAACTTGCCAAAGTTTCCGGCAGGTATTGCACCGTCTTCGGTCATTGACCAATGCCGAGAAAAGCGACGCGTCATTGGGTTCAGCATTCTTGCCACTAAGAGCTCAATGACGTGGAGTATCTCATGCGTTTCGTACGCAGCCTCGACGCGCGATCGCCTTTCCAATCTGCTTAACAGTCTCGGGGGCTGGTACAGTGCGTTTTCTTTGCTTCTGTCGGATTTGCTTAGCTCTGGCGTGTACTGTCTGCTTCTTGTAGCGATTTGTCTCCTTGGTGATGGTAACCCACAGTGATTTTGGTAGGAAGTAAAATAGAAGCAGCAAGGGAGAATCCGCAATGTCCTGTAGCTCCCTGATCGGTACGGCGACGTCCGTAGACAGGCGAGGGTACCCTCCACTGTCAGCTTCGAAGATGGACGAAGGAGGACTCCACTCAAAGCTCCGAAGTGCGGCCTTGTCGATCGACTCCAGTGTTAATTTGCCACCTAACGTCTCGACAAATGCGTCGTCCATCAGAGCAACGTCTTCATCGTCCTCAAGTGTGTCGTCGGGGTACTCACGCCTCACGATGATATCGTCGCCACTATTGTCGCTCCTGTCGCTGCCACTAGAATCGAGGGCCTCGTATTCATCCGAAAGATCTCCATCGCCCATAACAT